CTCTTTCATACACGTGACTAATGCCTGCAGTTCTGCCTCTGATGGTGCAATAAGCACTGCATCATCAGCATACAGCAGACAATTTACTTTAATGTCACCCAATTTCACACCCAAACAACTATCTTTCAGCTTCTGTAAACAGCTGTCGAGATACAGTATGAACAGCCAGGAAGACATGACACAACCCTGCTTTACGCCCGTTTGGACGTTAAACATGGGTGACAGGTCATGCCCTACCCGCACATAGGCTTTACAGTCACAGTAAAGAGACTGCACAGCCCTTAGCAATCGACCATCCACACCATACCCCGGCAACAGTTCCCACATTTTCTTCCTTACAACCTTATCAAATGCTTTCTCAAGATCCACAAAAGCACAGAAAATCTTCTGGTTAGCAGCCAGAAGCTTCTCCGTGATCATGCGGAGAGAAAACATTTGATCCGTGCATCCTCTTCCAGGTCTAAATCCGCATTGTGCCTCCCATAGAAATCTTTCCGATTTCTCTTGCATCCTACGTGTCAAAACCTTCGAGTAAACTTTACTTGCTAAACTGGTCAAGCTGATCGCCCGATAGCACCCGCAGTCAAAATGTGAACCTCTACCTTTATATAAAGGCACAATGACTGCGGATCGCCAATCATCCGGGACATCCCCCGTCCGCCAGCACAAATTGCACAGCAGATGAAAGATGTCCCAGACGCGAGGCCCACCATACTTGACCATTTCAGCAGTAACTCTGTCTAGTCCCGCAGCCTTACCACATTTCAAACTTCGAATCGCACGTTCAATCTCTTTCATCCTGATGACCTCAGTGTCATCGAGGTCCGGGTCTGGCGTACCAGTCACGGCGTCATCCCCGGATCCCCCACTAAGATCATCACACGCATACATTTCTCTATAAAATTCGCTCCATCGCTGCATGACGTCCGATTTTTCTGAGAGGACGTCAATAGTTCTCGAAAGCACTTTGTTCATTCTTAAGGCCGTCGCACCACTTCGGGTCCTTCCAACCTCTTTCCAGAAGAGTTTGGAGTTCTCCTTGAAGTTGTGCGACAACCTTTCGTCCGCTTCCATTCTACACCTTTCACGCACTTCCTCAATCAGTGCTTTCGTGTGAACTTTCTGCAGCCTATATCCTTCTTTCATCTTCTCTCTCATATCCTTATCATTACTAGAGGCCAAGTAGTCTAACCATGCTTTCTTCTTCTTCTTTACAGCTTCTTTCACTTCATCATTCCACCATGCATCTCTTCTTTTACTACTGCCTCTTTTTATTGTTCCACACACTTCTTCCGCTGCACTTACCATTCCATCCCTAAGGTTCTGCCAAGTTCTTTCTACACATTCTTTTCTGCCATCGATGGTGTCAAGCTTTTCGGCTACCCTCGCATGATATTTGTCCCTAGTATCCGCTTCCTGAAGCTTCCAGCTTCGGATGCGACAGACCGACTGTGGTTCTGTTACTGCCGTCCGGTAGCGCCAACCCGCGAGCAGACCCCTAAATCTAGTAATCACTAGATAGTGATCCGTTCCCAGGTCAGCACCCCTGAACACTCGCGTATCCATCACCTGTTTTCGCAGTCGGTCATCCACCAGGAACAAATCAATCATACTTCTCTCATTCTTTCGTTCTCTAGTATACATATGGATTTTCTTGTGATTAAACATAGTGTTTGTCACAAGAAGACCCTTTTCCTTGCACACCGCCAGTATAAGCTTGCCAGCATCATTAACCCTTTTATCGCCAAACTTTCCAAGTACCGACTCGTACCCTGGTCGAGCGGTACCAACCCATCCATTCAAATCGCCACATACAACAATTCTTTCGTTTCCCCTAGCCAAATCTAGAACTTCTCTTACATTCTCCCAAAACTCCTCCAGCTCAGCCCTGGACGACGAAGCTACCGGCGCATAAACAGCCAAAAGGAATAACTTCGTCAGTCCCAATTTAAAGCGAACCCAGAGAAGTCTTGAGTTCACAACCTTATATTCAGTCATAACATCGACCAACCGAGAAGACAGCAGCAATATAAATACTTGAGAAAAATAATGTGAGACGACCCTTAACTGCATGGAGTTACGAAACAGTGAGGAAACCTGCATTATCGGTGAACATACTCCTATATCCTTAGTATGCTGTTATGATTATAACATGACATACAATTTTTTTTATTAAATATATTCCACGTTACTATGTCGTGTACTTACAGTTAATTTTGATGCCCCATTTCGGTAATTGGATATGCGCCATTATGACGCGTCCGTCGCCAAATAAAATCACTGTCGCCCCTCGTTCCATCCACATTAACCTAGTCTTTAATTGATGGCTAGACAATTTCGCAACTGTTAATATTTATTGTACAAATATTACGCGTGACTCGCTTTCAGAAGCCCTCAGCTATTACGTCACAAGTTTTGGAGCTAGATCTAGATCTAGATCGCAAATGTTCACATATTTGTGATTTGTGAAAAAACAAAAAATTTTGGTTTTTGAATTTGGGTATGATATCCTTGTGCCTTACTCTGTATCCTCCAATCTTACACAGCATAAGTATTACGTCAGGAATTAGTGGTACATTTGTAAGAATGCTTGTGAACCTCTGCACTTGCATGTACACTCAAGATTTATATTGCCATTTTATCTATAAAATGTAAACTTTTAAAAAAAATTAAATAAAGAAAATTAGATCCGTGGTAGCTCACAGAACACGAGCAACCTGAGTTCGATCTTTGACTATGCCAATAACATTGTTGTTGTAATTTTTAGTGCTCTCGTCATATGCTCGGCAGTAAAGGAAAATATCGTGAGGAAACCTGCCATATCTAAGAACTTTATTTTATTTAGTTTTGTTATTTTTAAATAACTTTAATTAAATTAATCGAACTTTCGGTCATAATTGATGTAATATTCTTCACATTTATATTCTATTCCATTCCATATCAATCTATTCTATTCTTTTCTGACACATTCAGTTCATACTGTTACATTTCGTTTCATTCCATTCTGTTCCAATTCAGTTTCATTCTATTCCATTGCATTCTGTTCTATTCTATTGCATTCCAATCTGTTAATTTCTATTATATTCTATTCTATACTATTCTGTTCTATTCCAATTCGTTCCATACTGTTTTTTCCATTCTATTTCACTCTATTCCATTTCATTACATTCTGTTATATTGTATTCTATTTCATTCCGATCCATTACGTTTCATTCCGTTCCATTTCGTTCCGCTTCATTCTGTTACATTCCTCTCTATTCTGTTCAAACATTGTCCATTCTGTTATGTGCTATTATATTCCATACCAATATGTTATATTCTGTTAATTTCCATTCTATTCTCTTCCGTTCCGTTCTGTTCTTTTCCATTCCAAACTGTTTCACTCCGTGGCATTCTGTTCCGTTTCGTACCATTCCATGTAATATCGTTCAATTTTATTCTGTTCTATAATAGCACATAATGGATTTTTATTCCATTATGCGCTATTCTATTCGATTCCAATTTGTTGTTTTCTATTCTATTTTTTCTGTTCCATTCTGTTCCGGTCTGTTAATTTCGTTCGATATCGTTCCATTCCGAGTCTTTCCGCTCCGTTTCGTACCATTCCGTGCCATACTGTTCCCTTTTATTCTGTTTTATTCTATTTCGCTCTATTATTTTCTGTTCTTTTCTATTCCATTCATTAAGTTCCATTCCTTTCCATTCCGTTCCATTTATTATGTTATGTAATATTCTAGATCACTCTATCATTATGATCATATGTTTCATTCCATTCCATTCCGTGCCATTCCAATCCGTAATGTCTATCGATTCTATTATATTTTATTTTGTTCTATTCTATTCCATTCTTCTCAATATTAGTTATACGGTATAATAAGACTTTAATATCTATCAAAAATTACAAAATAATAAAACAGGGTTTTACGTGATAAAATTACATTAGAGCTATATTATGTCTTATTAATACAATATAAGTGTCTTCAAGCGCAGAGTGAGTAGGCTTTTGTTAAGCTTACTCTTTGTACTGTATTTCAGTATGGATCAACTTGAGCAGAGAAGGAGAACGAGTAGTGTCATAATGCTACTATAACATAGTAGCATTATGACACAAGTAGTGTTGACACTCATCATAATCTTCAGAACAATAGATCTGCATTTTAATCGACTGCAGGTGTAGCTCTCAACGGGCCAGAGCATCCACATATAATATCGTCCTTCATACTCGGACGTAGGACCAACGGTTTTACGTGCATTCCGGACACGCGGGAAAACCGCCAACTTCTTGACTCCAGACTACTACTGCGAATATCTCGATAGAAAAACCCACATAACAGATTTTCGGCTCAACCAGGGATTCTAACCCGGGACCTCATGATCAGATCCCGCGCTAACGATCGATGTCTACGTCACCGAGGCTGTAAAGTAATTAAAACAATCTATTTCAAATTAGAGTTCTTATAGAACAATGTGTTTACTTTTGCTGCAATTAATTCAAATCGATTTCCACTCAGCAAACCTTGGCCGCAAATGACCAGAATTATGTTTTGAATTATATATACTTAATAATATTACATAAAAAACTATGACTTAATATTTTTAAAATAAAATACTTTTTATTATAAACTGGAGAAAATTTACAAACTCAAAAGAATCTATATCAAATTAAAGTTCATAAAGAACAATGTGTTGACTTTTGCTGCAATTAATTCAAATCGATTTCCACTCGGCAAACATTGGCCGCAAATGATCAGAATTTCAAATTGACCTTTTAGAGAGCTGGCAGCACGGTGTAAAGGATCTTTTTTCCATTCCAATAATATGCCATTTAAACAGAGAACGCCAAAAGAAATAATAGGGATGTATTAAAAAATCGATGTATTTAAATATCACTAACTTTATTACTTTTGGTATTTTCAAATTCTGTTATTTCCTATTAGTTAATGCAAATTTTACCGCATACAGATAGTGGACTTGATTTATGCACTGCATCCACTACTGGGTTACATCTCAAAGGGATTAACGTCAGTATTATCCAGACTATGAGGTATTAGATATTCGATTCCTGTCCTCAATAGAGTACTAACACAGAAAATCCTTCCTTGTTTAAAGTAAATTGCAGTGCAAGTGCAGTGTGTTTTAGCCATCTTCAAAAAAAGTCTCAATTCGACTGTACGTTCTTATCTGTACGTATGTTACGAGATTTTGAGGATTCCTTTTTTTATAAAATAGACTTTACTTCGTATAGGTCCACATAAATTTAGATGGCAAAAGAAGGAATAAAGTTTCCACTCAAATGTGTAAAATAGGTGGATGTTAAGAAAGATTATATGATATAGAATTATATTATATAATCTTTCTTAGCATATATAATATAGAATTAAAGCCCCGACTTTAGAATGCGAAATTATTTGATTCCTTTTAGTTCTTTGAAGTCGACTCTTACTTTTTTAGTTATGTTTTACTGTAATGTTAAAGAAACCTATCATATAAAAAACTAACTATAATAAAATTTCAATTTGTTTAATCTTCCAACATTGTGTTTCCTTGCTGCAATAAATAGCGGAAACATATTATATCTAATTCCTTACAGACATCTGAAACATAATAACGATTAACCACGTCAGAGTCAAATCAGAATCAGAGTCGTTTCAATCCCAGCCTAAGTCAATATTACTAAAATAATTTTAAACTGTAACCGTATAATTTGAATTATATATTTACTGTCTACGTACTAATAAATAAATTTAGTCATTTTTGATTTGCTTATTGTTATTTCAAAAAATTCTAAACCAAAAGTTATACAACGCTTGCTCGTGTCGATACATCTCTAGCCTCAGCCGAGTTAGGTTGGCCGAGCCGATAATATCTTGGCAGTTGGCACACCTGACCGACGCTAATTGGACAATAAATCAATTCTCCCCGTTTCTTATTGGCGAATCGAGGCATTCCAATATTGAAAATTTGGCCGAGATATTGACATGATAAAAAACAATAGGGCGGTCGGTTATCTCTTTCTTTTGTGCTCATCTCTGGACTTCGTTTCTTATTAAACTTGATGTTTATGTTTTGTTTTACGTCGAACCCGTCCTATCAGTTAGACAATTTGTTTTCGAGAGCTCGTTATTGAATTATTAATATTGATTGTTTACATTTAAATCTGACAGTAAGAAGAACATTGTAAACAGGAGTCTTATAATAAAACTTAAAAGGATGATGTGTTGATATGATTATTATTATTGCACATCTGTTTACGTCCATGGTCCAGTACTTTAGGATAGAGACGTAATTCTTTTGCAGTCATTGACTTATATATTACTGCACTTTGAACCTTTCCTATTTTCCCAATTTTCAGTTAGATATAAGTTACTACATGACGCGCTATCAGCTGAAATCTAGTTACTTCTAGAACTAATTCAAACAAGATAAAAAGTTTTTTTTTAATATAGGATAACAAATAGGGTGACAAACGAGCACACAGTCCACCTGATGGTAAGTGGTTACTATGGCCCATAGACATCTACATCTATCCTCGATTACAAATCAAAATTCAGATGCGTTTTCACCCGTGAGGACTAAGATGGAATGTGTTGAAGCGCCTGTCAAATTATATTAGCAGTTCTCATGCCAATATTAGTCCGTAAGCTGTGTAGGTATGTTTAAAAAAATGTTACCGGTCGTCGTTGTAAATTTAGAGATCAAGTAAAGGTCGATTGAGCAAATTACTGGACTTTATTATTAAAAAGAGATAAAATTCCTATTCATGGTCCTAAATCGAAGCCGGATTTGAAAAAACGTAATTGGACAAGATATTATTTAGTGGAATACGCTTGGGAAGTCTTAAATATTCGTTGTGGAAATACCACCGAGGGAGTGAAGATATTTAACCAAGAAATCTGGAGTCTTAGCCCCTTAGATATTGGACTATTATTTAATTTATTTAACCCAGCACTCATTATCAGGTAGTATTTTGTGTAAATCGACTGCTAATTTATCAGGTTAGTACCAAATTACCTATAAAATAATTACGTATAACTTAAAGTATTTAATCGGCTAAAATTCATTTAATATTGTTTATATAGTTTCTAATAACCGTCAAATCATGATTAAATTAAATTATAAAGCTTAGTTAAATTATATTGACGATATTATAATTTTTTTTTTCTCTTTATTGGTTTAAACTGTTTTTTAAAAAATAAGTCAAGAATAGAATAGAATAGAATAGAATGATTTTTATTCAATATGGATTATTACATAATACTTATTGAAAGTCATTATTTTATTTACCACTGGTTCGGAAAATACCTCTGTCCTGGGAAGAACCAGCAAGAAACCCAGCGGGACTTTTTTTTTTAAACATAATTTCACTTAACAATAATTTTGATTATACAATTTTAAATGAATTTTCATAGAACCAGCATGGTGGCGATCACCTTATTCCCAGGGGTTATTTTCACTCATGTATTCCTTGATATTATAATAACCCTTTTTGTACAGTTTTTCTTTAATAAAACTTTTAAACTTGTTTATTGACAAACTTTGAACATGTTCTGGGATTCTGTTGTAAAAGCGTATACATTGCCCCATAAATGAATTACTAATTCTGTGGAGTCTTGTAAGTGGCATTACAAGCTTATGTTTGTTCCTAGTGTTTAAGGTATGAACATCCTTATTCTTATTAAAGCTATTTATGTTTTTATGTACATACATTACATTTTCATAAATATATTGCGATGCCAAAGTTAATATGTTTATTTCTTTAAATTTTTCTCTAAGGGACTCTTTACAATTTAGATTATAAATCGCCCGTACGGCTCTCTTTTGCAAAACAAATATAGCTTCAATATCAGTCGCATTACCCCATAGCAAAATTCCATAAGACATTACGCTATGAAAGTAACTAAAATACACTAACCTAGCTGTCTCAACATCTGTGAGACTTCTAATCTTTCTTACAGCATATGCTGCAGAACTAAGTCTGCTTGCTAATTTAGATATATGGGGGCCCCATTGAAGTTTCGCGTCAATAGTAATACCGAGAAAAACAGTGGTATCCACAAGACTCAACTCCTCCCCATTTAAGAGCACATTGGTTTTCGAATGTTTTACATTAGGTATTGTAAATTTAATACATTTTGTCTTATTGCCGTTTAAGAGCAAATTGTTGGCGTTAAACCAATGTACTAGTTTCGATAGAGCATTATTTACATCGTCATATTTAATTGACTGCCGTTTCAGTTTGAAAATTAAAGAGGTATCGTCAGCAAATAATACTATATCGTGATTGTCCCCTACAAGATAAGGTAAGTCATTAATATAGATTAAGAACAGGAATGGGCCAAGAATCGAGCCCTGAGGAACGCCCATTGATACTACCGATCCGGAGGAACATTTACCATTAATGACGACTTTTTGAGTTCTGTTACTTAAATATGAAGTAATAAGTTTAAGCGCCAAATTTTTTACACCGTAATGTTGTAGTTTCCTGATTAATGTATCATGATGAACACAATCGAAAGCCTTGGAAAGGTCACAGAAAATACCTAAGGCATCTTGTGAATTCTCCCAGGCATTAAAAATATATTTCATAAGCTCAACACCGGCGTCAGACGTCGAGCGACCCCTTGTAAAACCAAATTGATTTTTATGAAGTAATTTATTTGTATTAAAAAAAATTAACAATTGATCCAAAATTATTTTTTCAAAAATTTTACTGAGAGTTGGTAGTACAGAAATAGGTCTATAATTAGCGGGGTCCAATGTACTACCAGATTTAAATAAAGGTATTACTTTACTATACTTCATTAAATCAGGAAACACACCAGAATCGATACAAGTATTAAAAATAATAGCAAGATGAGGTGCAATTAAATCTATTATGGACGTAATCACTGTAACGGAAATCCCCCACAAATCTGCGGTTTTCTTTACATCAATGGTTTTGAAGTATTTTACAATATTATGCGGTAATACTTTTTCAAATCTAAATTCTTTTAAACAGGTATTAACATTCTGTTTAAGTAATGATTCGGCGACAGTTGGAGAAGCATTCAATGACTCTGTTGTCAAGATAGGAACATCAGTGAAATATTTCTCAAACACCGCTGCAACTTCTTGATTTGATTTAGTCAATTCATTATTAATTTTTAATTGATAGTTTGAATTACGAGGTTTCTCATTACCGGTTTCGCTGTTAATTATACTCCACGTCATTTTAATTTTATTCTTAGCTGCCTTAATTTTGTTACTAATATGTAATGATTTGGCTGTGGAGCAAACTCTTTTAAACATTTTAGAATAATTTTTTACATATTCTTTAAAAGCATCGGAAAGATTATACGATCTTTCATGGTAAAGGTCATATAACCTTCGTCTGCTTTTATAAATTCCTACTGTCGCCCACTCATTAAATGCCTTGCGACTGTTTCTGGAGAATGTTTTAGAAGTGAATGTTTTATTAAATTCATTGTTTATAAAGGTAAATAATTCTCTATATAAATAGTCTGCATTGTTCTTATAAGAAAGGGATGGAAGGATTTTTAACATATTACTTCTAAATCTCTCCAGGCGTTTTGCATTAATAGGAACAAACACAATTTTCTCATTTACCTGTTTTTTTTCTCATTTACCAAGAGAGTGTATAATTGAAAAAATTGCATAATATTATTTATTACATACTAAGGCATACCTGTGAAGCTGTTTGATGGTCTGAATTGTATTTGTTACCCTTAATTGTTGTTAATTATAAAGTTAAATATCAAGGTAGTACATGTACCATTTTGTTTAATTATTTAAGAGTTTGAAAAATAAGTAAGGGAATTAGTTTTCATTTCTTTACAACTGTAAGCAAAATTGTATAAAACTACTTATGAATTATATTTTATAAAATATAAACTTCTTGTTTGTATAAATTTCAGGCATTTGCACTAGTCTCCCAATACCAGCCAACATGCCAGAAGATAAGGAGCAAATTAGGAAACGAGCTAGTTACAAGGGACAAATAACTGCTTTTTCAAATTATTTAAATTCACTGAAGGTATCTTCATTGGCTGCTACTGAGGTAAATGAGTTGCAATTACGTATTAGTAGGATTGAGTCAATGTATGAACGATATGATGAGGTACAATTATCCATCGAGTGTAATACTGATAATATAGACGCCCAGATATCAGAACGAACTGATTTTGAATCCCTGTATTTTAAATCGCTTTCTCTTGCAAAAAGGATCTTAGCAGATTGCATTAAGTCAGATGACGTAAGCAGTGACGGTGGCTCTCATTCCGGCAATCATAAATTTGTTAAACTGCCCACTATTCAACTACCTAAATTTAATGGTTCTTATGATAATTGGTTAGAGTTTCATGACACGTTCATGAGCCTCATAAATTCAAATGACGAGATAGATGACATAAATAAGTTTCACTATCTGAGAGCGTCGTTGGAAGGGCCCGCTGCTGTGGTAATACAGTCAATCGAATTCTCGGCAGCTAATTACACCGTCGCATGGACTATATTATGTGATAGATATGATAATAAAAGACTACTAATTCAAAATCACGTGACAGCCTTATTTAATATAGCACCAATTAATAAAGAATTGTCTGTCAACTTAAAACGTCTTATTGACCAAATAAATAAAAATTTACGTGCACTAGAATCTCTCGGTGAGCCAACTAAACAATGGGACACACTTCTCATTCATATTATTACTCAAAAATTAGATGCTAAGACATATCGTGAATGGGAAGAGTCTAAAGGTCGTTTGGAGAAAGATACACCTATTACGTTCGATATATTTTTGATGTTTTTAAAAAATCGAGCCGATTTAATCGAAACACTAGAAATGTCTAATTCTGGTGCTACTAACCGTTTAAATTCTTCTATAAAATATGCTCCAAAAGTTAAGGCAATGGTTTCAGTTCGGGATACCGGTAATAAAAACGGTTCGGCCTTTTCCGCCAAACTGTGTCCTAAATGTAAGGGTGACCATAAGTTAAGCAGTTGTCCTCAGTTTCTTGGATTAAGTAACGATGTGCGTCTACAGTTACTGCCAGAGTATAAAGTATGTTTCAATTGTCTTAATTCAGGACATTATGCAAATCACTGCAAAAAGCCAGCATAACACTCTCGTGCACGTCGCAGATTACCGGTCAAAACCAATTACAGATATTAATACATCTAACACGAGTAGTGGTAATAATAAGCCCGTTATGCAAGGTCATTTCGAACAAACAAACAGTTCGACAGGCTCACAGTTGTCATCCAATTCTAACGCACATCTGTCATTATCCGCAAAGGTAGGCACTGCATCGTGTAGTGAACAAGGCGACGTATTGTTATCGACGGCATTAATTAAAGTTATAGGTAAGAATGGTTGTCCATATATTGCTCGTGCTATTCTTGATAGTGGCAGTAACGCTTGTTTAATAACTGAAGAGTTATATCAAAGGCTAGGTTTGCCCGCTCAAAATGTAAATCAGTCGGTAGTCGGTATTAATAATGCTTCGGCACACATCAAGAAGATTTGTAAGGTATCGATAAAATCATTGAATGATAACTTCTCTAGTAATCTTCATTGTTTTGTCCTACCATCAATAACCCAAAATGTACCTACTAGATATGTTAATTTGTCAAACTTAAAAATTCCATCTAATATTTCTCTGGCAGATCCTAATTTTCACTCACCTGCTCCCGTTGACATGCTTATAGGTGCTGATGTCTTTTGGGACTTAATAGGAACGCAGAGATTAAAATTAGGGGACGGTCAGCCGATTCTTTGTGAAACTAGCTTAGGATGGTTAGTATAGTATAGTATAGTCCGATAGATTATAGATATGTAAAGAAAGGGGTTAACTTTATTAAATGTAATGTTACAAGAATATTTCAAGATGAGGCTAGTAAAGATTTAGATGAAGATATACAAAAACAATTAGTACGCTTCTGGCACCTCGAAGAGGTAAGCCCTGCGTCTCTTTATTCAAACGAAGAAAAATTATGCGAAGAACACTTTTTAAAAAACACCACGCGACTGGCAAATGGTCGATTTTGCGTGAGGATACCCTTAAAACATAATCCTGACGTATTAGGTGATTCTTGGCCACGAGCTAAAAAGTGTTTACTATCGCTAGAGCGCAGGTTAGCAGGTCAATCTCAGGTCTATGAAATGTATAAAGAATTTATGTCAGAGTATGAAAGTCTGGGTCATATGGAGAAATGTGAGAATGATAATTTACCACGTAAGATGCATTTTATACCACATCACGGTGTGCTGCGGGAAAGTAGTACTACTACTAAATTAAGAGTCGTTTTCAATGCTAGCAGTCCGACTTCTTCGGGTGTTTCCTTGAATGATATACAGATGGTAGGTCCCGTGGTACAGGACGACCTTTTGTCCATTCTTTTACGCTTTCGGCTACACAAATACGTTCTCACAGCTGATGTTGAGAAAATGTATCGGCAAATAGTCATTCATCCCGATGACCGCTATTTGCAACAAATTGTCTGGCGTGATAACCCTTCAGAACAGCTTCAAGCTTATCAACTTAACACCGTGACTTACGGCACCTCTAGTGCTCCCTTTTTGGCAACTAGGTGCCTCCAACAATTAGGCTTAGAGTGTACCGATGACAAGGTTGCTCAAGTGATCATTCACGATTTTTACGTTGATGACTTGCTAACGGGAGGGGATGATATTAACGAGGTTACAGATTTGCGCCGTAAAGTGACTTCCACACTTGCATCAGCTCATATGGTTTTGCGAAAGTGGAAGTCGAATGAATCTCAACTGGTTAGTGAAAATGATATTTCTCCGCTTGATTTGAATATTGGTGGCTTTGAACCGACTAAAACTTTAGGCCTTGGTTGGCAATCACATACTGACCAACTTTGTTTCCCTATAGGAGGGCTATTCTCAGGTAGAACAAAGCGAGTGGAGGCATGTCCCAACAGAGTGTAATCCGGCCGATCATATTTCTCGCGGTGTGAGTTGTAAGGATATTTCATCCATGAGTAAGTGGTGGTCAGGACCTGAATTTTTAAAGAAAGAGGTCTCTCACTGGCCTGCAAATTTCTTAAGTATTAATCACGAGTTGCCTGAGATTAAATCGTCAAATGTTATCCTCCACGGAATACTTCATTCTAGCAACAATGAAGATTTAGGTGGGAATAAATTAATTGAATTTAAACGCTTTTCTAAATATACTAGATTAAATCGGACCGTTGCTTATGTGCTGCGTTTTATTAATAATTGTAGAAAGCAATCCGTTCACGGTCCTCTAAGCAATCAAGAGTTGCAAACCGCACTCAATGTTATTATAAGAATATCTCAGAGTGAATCATTTGAGGAATACACCATGTTAATTAAAAATAAAAGTTTACCCACTAAAAGTCCGTTGCATAAATTTAATGTATTTCTCGATGATAATAAAATAATGCGTGTTGGAGGGCGTCTTGAAAATTCCGATTACTGTTATGAGAAAAAACATCCCATACTTATACAGTCCACTCATTATTTTACCAAATTGCTCTTCAATTATGAGCACATAAGGTTAATGCACGCGGGACCACAGCTAATGTTGGCCACTATAAGAGAGATGTACTGGCCGATTAGAGGTCGTAATTTGGCCAGATCTTGTTATCGACAATGTGTAAGATGTAATAGAATGAAAGGAAAAACCATCTCTCCAATAATGGGCAACCTACCACACCAACGCATCCTTTCTGGTTTTCCATTTCAAAATATTGGACTAGACTATGCGGGACCAATTCAATCTGTTTCTCGCCATGGCCGTGGTTGTAAAATTGTAAAGGTGTATATAGCTATTTTTATTTGCTTCGCGACTAAGTCAATTCATCTTGAATTAGTGGGTGATTTAACTAGCAATACCTTCATATTAGCTTTGCGCAGATTTATG